TTGTGAGATTTGGTGAACACCTGCATTTCTGCTCCTGGACAACTTAAAGGGCCGGTCACCCAGAGTACCATTCAATTAAATTATTATTAAAGCTTCTAATGAGTATTCATGAGCTTTAGGACACACCAGTTTAACTCCTGCTGGTAGAACATCTCAAAGCAGTTTGTCACAAGGTGTCCTGGCTACACCTGGTCTGTGAATCATTACAAATCAAACTGATGATATGGGACACAGTCAGAGAACCACTGGTCCCATTAGAACATGGGCCGAGCACAGAGAGAAAGTGGGACGACCACATGTTGTGTTTATTTTACTGTGAAATGACTCGAAAACGGTGCAATTAACAGGTCAAAACTCAAAGACCTGCAGGTTACTATGATGAAAATAACGCCCATCTCTTTTCAGTACATTTAACACTGTCTGAAAACTTTTACATTTATATATATGTATGTACGCATTCATATGTATTTATACTATACTATACATATATTTATATGTATTTTACTTCTTGTGTGTTTTATTCCTTATTCTTATTTATCTTACTGTTTCGTTGTGGAACAGGTGCACAAAGCATTCACTGGGCGTTCTACCAGGTGACCAGGTGTCTAACTGTGACCAGTGAAACACCTTGAAACCTTGAATCCTTGAACACACAGTATTTGTAATGGCGACAGCAGGGGGGCGACTGGTACGATGACTGGGAGGTTCACCAGAAGCTTACTGGAGCTTTGGCCTTGAGTACGATGTGGAGGAACCTCGACTACTTTATATTTGTGCTCCACCACGTTTCAGAGGTAAATATGAACTTTTACTCCACTACATGTATTTGATGCATCGACCTCGTTGGAGGTTCAGCTCAGGAGGATCAGACATAAGAGGAGGACGACCACCAGACAGTCAGCTTTCTGGTGACAGACGCTCATCAGATGCATTTAACCTGAAATCCATTTTCAAAGACGGTCAGGTATGTGACCTCCATACATTACCAGATAACCAGCGCGTGGCTTTGTTGTATGTTTTATACGTTACTGTCCTGGTTTCACAGTGTTTTATTGTCACCTGCACACTGTTAAGGTTCCTCCTTTATGTTTTGTGTCTGTCATCACACGTCCAGATACTACAGCTGATAATGAACCAAACTGGTGCATTTAGTGACACGTCTGTTCCAGTTCACTGTCTCTCTAATCGTACACTGAATGAACACATACATACATACATGCTGATGTGTTATTATAGCTGAGATAAGACTTTGTTTCCCAGTGAGCTGCAGCAGCATAAAGACGAGCACACATCAGCGCATCACTAATTATGATCTAACTCTGTGTTATTCTCAGACAGGCCGTTCTGCATAAAGAGTCACTCTGAGCACAGCTTTGAGCTAATAGTTTGGTAGAGAGTAAAGAACGTTTCCTTTTTATTTACTGGAACCAGGCTGGTTCTGTGGTACCGCCATGATTAAAATGGATCCAGCATTTGTTGTGCTTCGTTTCTGCTGCATTGAATCTGGTTGAGATCTAGTTTTAGAGCTGATTCAGTAACATCAGCGTCACCGACTCGCTGTTATCAAGCTGGTGTTCACTTCCTGTACAGACCCAAGGTCACCTGGTCGGGCCTCACAGTTCTGCAGCTGCTACTGAAGGAACGTGAGGAGGGTTTTAGAGGTGGGAAATAAAGAATAAATGGTGTAAGACTTCAGGGATGAAGTTGTGTTTCTGCACTGCATTACTGCTGCTTTATCTCTGTGAACGGTTTGTCTGGTGTTGATCATCGGGACGACAGCGGGTCGGTTCAGGGACAACATGAGAGCGTCTGAGCTGGAATTAACACAACCTGATGTCCAGCACATGAATGAGCTGCTGCTCTCATTATCGCTTCATTCTGAGCAACACAAACACACAGTTATATATAGATAGAGATATATGTATGTCTACACACACACACACACACACACACACACACACAGTATATTTACAGCGTGACTCATGCTCGAGGTGGGCCAGTTTAATTGGGCAGGATAAGCAAAGGGGTGGGCTGAGAGCATGGAATGAAAAGCAGTGAGGAAACGAAGCTCCTGAAGACACATCACCACCACCACCACCACCACCACCACCACCATACAGGAAGATCTGGGGCTCAGCTGCTCAGTAACCTGCGTCTACGTCGTGTGGGCTCGAGGAGCTTTAACCCCGACATGCTCGGCAGAAACAACCCAACATCATCACAGACCCAGCTAGAGTCAGACATCCCGGACAGCTCGAGCCGAGGAATGCAAACAGCAACACTCTGTGGTCGTCAAAGCTCCCTGGTATGTGGGCAGGACAGATGGAACCCAAAACACAGGGGACAGGTCGGGGACAGGGCAAGACAGTCAGAGGGCCACATTCACACAGCAGACCAGATCATAACAGTAGCAGGGAGAGAAGAGAGGCAGAGGGGGAGATAGGGAGATAGCACGGGCCACCGTACGGACTCGACGAGAGAAGAAGCAGTCTCACAGACCTGATCAGCGAAAATCCTGGTTTTTGGCTCAAGAATGGCTCCTCCCCTTAACTCATCCTCCACAGCCATGAGTCTTGGAAGCAGAGAGAGGGAGAGAGAGAGAGAGAGAGGGGGGAGAGAGGGAGAGGAGGGGGGAGGGAGGGGTGACAGAGAAAGAGGGAGTGTTATGAATTCAAGATTAACAAGATGTTGAGCAGGTGCATCTCCAACATCTGCCCCAACAACAGCACAGCCATAAGACGCAGCTTTAGCCGAATCCCAAACCCCCGGCAGGCCTCCTAAGCCGCCGTGAACGCCGAGCAGCAGTAACCTAAGCCACGCTTTATGAGGCGCTGCCAACTTTCACTGGTGGACTGTTTTCTCCTCTCGGCCCCGCGGGATTTATCAAAGCAGTTTTTGCCCAATTGGAGGTGTTTTCCAAGTGCAATTAGGGCCAACTGTGGACAATTACGCCAGGCTATGTGGAGCGAACGGTTCAGCTACAGATCCCAATCATCCCCAGGGAATTGCCCGTCTTACGTAACACAGGCTGACCGAGGCACGGGCGCAAAATCCTTTGACTAATCATTTCAAAGACGCCGCTCGCAGATATGAGCGAGCGGCCTGCTGCAGTTTTCATGAGCCGGCGGACAGCGCAGGTTCTCCCAGCTCTGGTGATTATCCCAGTGCCAGGGATTGGCTCCAGATCGGGTCATTCAGCGATATTTCTCACACTGTGAATGCTGCTACTTGGTGATAAATGCCAAATAGAAGTTACTGTGCACAGAAAAAAAACAGAAACCTCTTCACATGATAGCTTTCTTTGTGCTGCCTTCATGACTTTTGGTCGACACTGACAGCAGCAGAATAAACATCCCTGAAACTTGCTAACAAGAAGTAAGTTTGCTGAAATATTATCCCTTTACAGCGGCGCACAAAGGGCTGCACATTTATGTCAATTTGTCTGGGTGGAATGAGCACAAAGATTGCCAGTTGTGCATTCATTAAGCAACTAATCCAATCAAATAGTTGACAGGAACATTTAATTGCCGCCGTGTTTCGGCGCGGCACCGATCGAGCCGCTCGGTGTCACTCAAGGCTTTTTCCCGCAGCACATTATTCACATCAGCTTTATTCAGAACACACAGGCACATGTTTGACAATAAAGAACGAAAATCCACAGGTGAAGTTTCAAACAGAAGTGTTTGGATGTTTTATTCCATAAATAATGTACAGTGTCGAGAGTTATTTTACAAAAGAAGAGAATAGGAAAAGAAAAGAGTCAATCATAAGCACAGACAGAAATATTAGCACTGTCCCAGAAAACAATGGAATGTAACATGGGTTTACAGCATTAAGATTCTGACATGACTTCAAAAGGCAGACAATGATTCATGTGGGTGATATGTTACAAAAAGGAAAAAGAAAAGAGAGAAAAGAAAAGAAAAAGTTCTTATATCCAGTTCAAGTAGTGTGCTTTTGAGGTCAAGTCGTACATTTAGTCAGAACAATGTGTGTTTCAGCCAACATGAGGTCACAACGTCTGAATATTTTGCTACAGAGAAAAAAGGCAAGAGACAAAGGTGTCGATAGGATGTAAAGTCAACGGAGAGACAGACCTGGATCAAACAGAGGCTGCAAATACGTTCTCTGTTGGTTTGTGCCAGCGTGTGGGGGAGCTCTCTGATTGGAAACTTACCTCTCAATGGGTGTCGGTGCGTCAGAGAAATCTGGTTAAAGCAAGAATTATTTGCAACTATTTGACACAGGTCTGCGCAGGAGTGAGAATAAACCCTTGGCTGTTGCTACAAGCCATCACACACACATCAAGCCATCACCACTATGAGTTCATTTGCAAGATTTAAACAGAAGTTGCTGCCGTAGTACAATCTATACAGCCTACCAATATAGTCTTGCTACAAAAGAGGCAGATATACTGACACCAGAATATTATCTATATCTCTGGAGAGGGAAAAAGAAAATAATATGGTTTCCCTTTTAATAATCATAATCATAATAATAATAATAATAATATGTAAATGAAAACTGTAACTGCATAAGTTCAATGACAGTACTGTCTAACGTTCTTAAACGACTACTCTGATCACCAAGTCACCGGACACCACCAATGACGGACTGCAGGTCAAAAGTCATACCAAGCATATACAGCAAAATCATACAGAGAGAAGAAAATCGCTTTAATTAATAAATAAATGCAGTTAAAATGCAGATCAATTCACAAACACCGTACAGAAAAGCCAGAAACAAGGTCAGAACTGAAGAAACACACTTTTGCAGAACACACGGTTGTTAAAGAGTCACGTCATCGTTGTCATGTTGTCTCTTGGTATTTTTGCACTTTACAGTATTCCAGGTCTTTATTTCTCTCTGTCTAGATACTGATGGACGGCACCTGGTAAAAAGGTTTTGGCAGGAAGTCACTGTTTCTTTATGTACACACAACATAGGTCATCGGGATGCTGCGTGTGCATCAGCGTGTCCTATCTATTATTGCGCTTCTCCTGCTAAAAAGTTAGCTATTGCAAGGTTAAAATAGTCTCACTCTCAATAGAACTCATATATATTTCATATAATATTATTGTTATGGCTCTTGCATCACTGAATTTAATATGCTATGGATTATAGTTAAAAATAGATTATTACTATGACAGGTGCAATTAAGACCGTTAGAGTTTTTCCCCTCGACTCCAAACTCGCTCTCCAGCATGAGTCTGTTCGGCTCACAGCAAACAGCTCGGGGAAGATAAATAGTTTCATTCATATTTATAATTAAAATATTTTGACAAAAAAATAGGAGAGCCTGTAGCCAACTAATAAGATCACTAACCTCAAGAAAAAAATAGAGATACGAGTGCTACAGGTAAAGTGGATTCAGTGTTCCAGTGGATTGAACCGAGCATGACTTCAAACTCAACATGTGGCTTTGGTTTAAATTAGATTGTTGAGAACAGAAAGTGTACCTGGTCTAGTGACACATATTAGATCTGCTCTGAGCTTAACGTAAAGTTTGTGCGCAGAACATTAAGGCTTCTCTGAAAGAAAATCTCCAAACGCGACGCTGAGTGTTTCAGTTCTGCAGATCAAGAGATTTGTTCAAGCCTACACAGGAGCCGTGAGGATGGAGATCACACACGCTCGTTTTGCAGAACCTGAGCTCGCATTTGCATCAACGTGAGAAATCTGAATGTGAAAATTTAACTCAAAAGTCAATTGAAGACGAAACGTAACAAAAGGCTGCGGTTGTTGTTGCACTAAGATTCTGGAGTCCAGTCAATCCAAACAGGACGGCCTGAGACGGTACTTCTTGGCATCCACGCTCTCTTTGCATTGCTCGTGAGTGCAATAAGATTCACATGTGTCCAGATGATGCACAAGTTCTGGCAATGCCCTTGGTGGTCTGGCTCAGTGAACTGGGAGTAAAACGGACTCGGAAGCATCCAGATCTGCTACTTAATTGATCCTTGTGTGGTCGGATGACGGAGGTCACACAAGCTACAAGTGTAAGCCTTGAAAATCTCCTGCACCCTTTATGCTTCATGTGTGCAGCAGATTGGTTGTATTAAGCTTAAGTAAGCAGTGGTTTTGCTTTAAGTGCTCTGACAAAGTGTCTGTATTGTGCGGCATAGCTCCTCTACGCCTTTATGCTCCAATCTTCAGCGTTCACGGACGAATTCGAGCTCCGTCTGTGACGCTCTTCCCTCTTCATATTACACCATAGAGTCTTATGTATGTAAAAAAAGGAGAGAGGAATTAGTCCCCGTGTTCACTCCATAGAAAGAAGCGTCCTTCAGTGAACACGGTTCACCTCGGTTCAAATGGAAGAGCTAATATTAAACCAATGTCTTCCACAGTCCTGCGCCTGAAGGTCCAAAACATTTCTTTGAGTTGCTTTAAAAAGTGCAGACATGTTTCTGAAGTTATCAAATTTTCACTCCTCTTGTGCTTTTACAGTGCAATCAACTGGAAGTTACGCTAAGGATCCCAAATCCAGTTAGGAGCAGAACTGTTCATAAAAACGGCTGATGGTTAGTGCAACAGCACAGGATACGGGAGGACGTTTAACGATGCTTTTATATACAAGGTTAGAGATGGTTCCCATAAAAGACGAGCAGGACTCTCTGTCTTCATTCCATGTCTTCTTTCCTGGAGTGGATTAGAAGTGGCAATATTCTCTGTCACAGATATCCACCCTTCAGTAGCAGACCACAGACTATTATACCATGAGAAAATATTCTGCTCTTGTCCCTATAGAGTCTTTTAACTGGGTTATTTTCACAATAAAAAACATCAAACTAAATTTGGCCAGCATTGCTAATGTGCAGTCACCAGTCAGATGCACGAGGAATCCTTCAAACACAGCAAATATTTGGCTTCTGGGCCCCGATACAGCTGAGATCCGATCAATATTCCACTGCTTTCCCATGAACTACTTAATTTGTGAGTGATCAATAAAAACTAAAGATTGCACTCAAAAAGTGCCCCATTACAATTTCACACAAGCACTCAATAAATTAGGACTCAGCTGGAGTTCTCCGCAGTCGTCCAAACACGACGCTCCTGAATAACAAGTAAAGCATGTGGCGAGGTTCTGACGGCAACGAGAGCTCAGAGGACAATCGGCGCTCTTTGTCCAGCTTAAGTCAGTAGAAAAGCAGCAGCCACCGCGGGGACATGCCCTGCATGCTTATCCAACAAGATATAGATCTCTGTCCTCCATATTATACTCTCTCATTTAATTTGTCACTCATTACATGTCTGCAGCTTTGGCTTGCAATATACAGCTCCCTGCCTTCTCCCAGGGCCACAGGGCTTAATGAAACCAGCCTCCTACCCTGCAATATTCTCTGCAAGATAACAACCTCTGGTAAATAGAGTCCTATTCCAATATGCAATATATGTATTTTAGGGAAGAGCTGCTTCAAGTTCATGTCTCATCTCGTTAAGTAGAATTCAATCTGCTAAAGTTGTGCCGTGTCAATCAGACTTGTGCTCTCGCTTCCTCCTCATTTTAATTAACACTATCAATCACAATCTAAGAGAATATGCCACTTTCTCCACATATATTGGAAAAAGACGTGTACGGTCTATTCACCAAACAGAAGTGTGGCCCGCCCACGGCCTCCCTGTAAAAGATCACATGATGTCTCAGCTGTCGTTTGCCCTCCATCCCAACAACAGACTCCATTTACCTGCTAATTATTCCTTTAATTTGGGAGTCTTTCTCCACTTGCTGTTGCCGTAGCCTCCTCTCACTGTCCTCGAGTCGGTTCTGGTACTGTAGGAGGATCTTATTGGTCTGCTGCTCCTGTGTGAGGAGCCTCCGCTCGTACTCCTCCAGCTTTTTGTGGGACATCATCAGGCGCTCCTTCAGGGAGTTGATCTCCTCCTCGTACTCCCGTACCTGACACGGACACATGGAGACAGCACAAAGTTAGATGATTGCTGGCTCAGCGCCTCGGTTTCACTACAGCGGCTGATAGATTTCCAAAAGCTTTGTCCACATTCACACAAACTGTAAAGTGGAACATTGAAGCTCTACATGCAGGCAGAGGTACAGCGATACACCAAAGTACTAAAGAAATGTGGCTGATGGCCGTTTCCCACACGGTCTGTGACCTCTGGACGTCTGTGTTACGAGTCCAGATCTGAACGCCATCTGCTCAGCAGCTCCTCTGCATCACACTAACATGCTAGTCCGTTAGCAGTGATACGTACCCTGTCCATGCGTGACTCATCCATGCTCTTTGAGTACTCCTTAAGTTTGAATTCCTCACGGTCAATCCGCGAACTTTCAATGTCAGCCGACAGATGAGGCATGTTGGAGACCCAGGCCACGGTGCGCTCATTGGCTGAGGGTGGGTTGAGGGTGGATGGAGACTGGGAGCCCTAGGAAACAAGGCCAGCACACTGAATATGAGAACATGAGTTCTTAAGTGGATGAAAGTCACTTTCATAAGAAGCGACGTTGTGCAGGATTTTATCCAAAGTGCCTCAGAGTTAGTTCAGACACCGTGAGCCTGGCCGGCCCCTGGTGGGACTCCAGCTCTTAATCCTGAGCGCCAGTACCGCGCTGCACTAAATGAGCTCCACACACACAATTAAGAGCCATTTACAGCAACTGACATCTCACACATTCCTGATAAATAGCTGTGTGCACAGGTGCTGATAGGAAAAGCAGAGTAAAGAGAGGAGATAAGCCCAGAGTGTGCAGATGTTACCTGTTTGCTCATGGTGGGTTTGAGCAGGTGCTGTTGCTGAGACTGTTGTGGTGACTGCTGAGTGCTCTGACTGGTGGTTCCCTGTGGACTCTGGCTTTCCCTGACAGAGCTCTGCTGGTGGGGCAGGCCCGGGGCAGTGTTGTCTTTGACGGACAGCTGCCGAGGCCCGTGCTGCCGGCCGCCGTAGCCCGACTCCGGTGACTGGAGGAGGTTCCCGCTCTGAGGCCGGGTTTTGGCCGGAGCAGCAGGCGCGGCGGCTGCGCTGACGGACAGCTGGTGGGACGTCTGGGACTTGACGCGCTGGGTGGGAGGCGGGGCAACAGAACTCTGGCGCATAGGTTGGACTGTGGAGGGAGGCGTGGTGGCCAGGGAGGAGTGGGAGGTTCCTGTCTGGGAGGTCATGCCCATCATTTGTTGCTGCTGCTGGAGATTATCCTGAGAGAGAAAACAGGGACATCACAAATCAGCAATTTGGTCCTTGTTTGATTTGCGTTCCCCAAAGATTCTAAGAGGATTTTTAGGCTGGAGACGTTCTTAAGAAAATGCCAGAAGCTGTGATGGTTGAGTGTGTTGCTTCAGTTTGAGTGACAAACTGCTAAAGGGTTTTTCAGATTAAAAAAATCTTGCACAGACGTTTATGATATATTATCTTTAGGTGTGATGGTCATGAGGTAAGAGTGGAAACGCAGCATTCACATAACGACGACTTCACCAGGAGTGTTTCCCTGAACATGGCTGCTGGCTGTATCCTACTCTGCACCCGGCACCATAAGGCTCCACATTATGGCTCCGGTGCTAAACAAACCGGTGTCAAGAACATGTGGGACGAATGGAAATGTAGGCTGCTTCTGTTCGTGTTTATGCCGTCATTGATGCTTTTTCTCGTGCCTGCTCTGCAGAAGAGTCAGCAGTCAGATGTAACGTTGAACTGGTTCGCCTGCACCTGTTGTTCATCACACCAAAGGATCCTTCACCTTTTAAACCAATCAGCACTCAAGTTATCGCCTCATCATGGAGAGGCGACGCGCTGTTGGCTTGTTGGAGGATGCATGCAAGCTTGTGTGTTGGTTTAATTCCCATAATCCTTCACTCTGCATACGCAAAGAGGCCAACGTTAAACCATACATCCCCTGTGAGATGACTGCACAGCCTTCAAGCAATAATTAAGCGTTGTACCACCTTTTTATTTTTTTCAGAAAACCTTGTTTTTGGCTGCAGGCCTCTGCATCAGCGGCCCTTCCAGATCAATAGTGTCACTACCGGAGAACGAAGAGACGCATTTCTCTTTCACACGGCGCTAAAGCTGGTCTGATACGACCTCAGCCTGTGAGCTCCGGCTGGAACGTGTCCATGTTCACGTTTTCTGCTAAACTACTGTCAGCTAACTGCAGCTAACGCTTTCCATTTCAGATTAATCTGATATTTTAAAAAAACGTTCCTGACGTATCGTATGATCTTTAAAACGTGTGAGAACAGTGAAAAAGCAGAACATTGTTGTAGTGGAGGGAGCAGCATGAGGGAGCGTTATTGGATTACTGATGTAGTTGGAGGTTGATTGTTGGTTGACTGACTAACAGAACCTGTCAAATGAAAGCCAGACCTCAGCCATAAGTTTTCAGTCACAAGGGATGAAACAATCACGATAATCACTAAATCATTTATCGCTGTGAAAAACTAAAGAAATAGAAAACATTCACTGTTCACAGCTTTACGGTGGTTGCTTTTGCCTGATTTAAGTTGTTGTGAATTGAGCATCTTTGGACAAAACAAGCACAACAAACATCACTTTATACTGAATAGCATCAGCTAACAATGCAGTCAGATTATCTTAAAGTTCTTCTGCAGTGGCTTTGAGACCTGACAGGAACTCGGTGAGCAGATATTTACCTGCACATGCATGGACATCTGCCGGCGTCCATAGTCAGCCCTGCTGTAGTCGTCACTGTAGCTGTGTGAGTGGATGATGCTGGGTTGGCCCAGGTGAGTGTCCCTGGTCCTGAGGGTGGACAGATCCTCACTGCGAGAGAACCCCCCATGGGCGAACTGTGGGATGTAGGTCTGGTGAGAGGGTTCAGGCTCTGGGGCCAGGAGAAGAGGCGCTGGGGGTTGAGCCCGGCTGTGCTGGTGATGGAGCTGTTGCTGTTGAGGCCCATCAGCAGTCGCCAGATGAAAGAGGGGATTCTGGAAGGAAAGCGGGTAGCGCATGGCGGCGGCCTGCTGTTGCTGCTGCTGGGATAGCGAGTCGGTGGTGGTGCCCATCTGGCTCAGCTGGCTCAGCCGGAGGCCGCCGGACATGCTGGAGCCGCCAGAGCCAGCTGACAACCTCCCACCGGCCCGCAGCTGGCTGCTCAGGCCCGACCCCAGGCCGCCACCGCCTCCGCTGCTCAGCCCTCCGAAGCTGCCCATGCCGGCGATGGAGGCCTGGGAGGAGTTGAGCATGTCCACCGACTGCAGGTTAGACACGCTGTTCATTCGGGAATCCTGGAGGTCCATCATAGATACGCTTTTATTGACACTGAGCACCTAGATCATAAGGGATATGAGAGGCTAGTGTGCCCCCTGTTATTTTGTTATGTTAGGTGGCCACGGATGATATGGGTGAGGGTGGTGCGGGTGTTTTTACCGCGAGGCCTGCCTGGATATCGGAATGCCTCAAAGTATTTCCCAGGAAATACCGCTAGGATGAGTTGCGTGGTGAATCAGTGGAAAAAAAGCAGATGTCATGATACACTAGAGCCTCGATCACACGATGGCAGATTCTATTCAGTATGACCGACATGCACGTCATACTAACCTCACGCTGGAAAGGATAACCCTAGTGGATGGGATGATGATTCCCCAACTCAGTGTGATAGAACTCACCTTAGGGTCTGGTTCCGTGATGTCCGAGCTGCTCGTGCAGTACGCTGGGCTGGATCGGGCCAGGGGAGGGCGCGATACGTAAAACATGTCTTTGGAGGACGCTCGATGAGGGTGGTCACGGTCCTGAAAACTCATCTGGGCGCGGGATGGCATGACCCCTCCGGTGGAGGTAGGGGAAGGCAAACGAGTGATATCTATAGAGCTGGAGAAACAGCAGCGCGTCAGGATGTCGGCTAGTTCAAGTCAGTACTATGAGCCAGGTTCAACAGCATTTCAGGAGGCAGGTCAAGTCTACACAAGCCACTGAGCAGTGTTTCCTCTACATTCATCTAGCAGCGGCGGCGGCGGCCCGCCATTACTAAATCCTAGACGCTGCTCCTTCACATTTCTTTCACCACATTTCACCAACACACCACCTATTATTAAATAGGTTGTAAAAGTAAAATCTGCAGTCAGATGTCATGTATTCAGGTGGCCACGGCTCCCGGAGAGCCTGCTGCCCCGCTGCTGGAGAACATCGTGGAGGAAACACCGAGTGTGCAAAGAAGCATTTGGATTTGATGCTGAAGAAAAAGCACCAAGACAACAATGAAGATGTTTTCATCCATGCCCCCGATGGAGTTCTGCTTTTAGCAAACACGAAGCGAGCGATGCCACCACAGCCGCCCACTCTCATCTGCAGCACAACTGCTGCTCATGTTCTTGTTTCTTCTGGTCTCATGAAGGGTTTACCTCCATGTAAACGCCGTATCCATCATACCTGGTGTGCATTTAAACACAGCTGCTGTTTTGCAGTTTCTGTTTTTCATTTAAAGTCTTAGAACAGTAACGAGTACTTCCAGCAGCCTGACATCTGTAGAGCAGATGTAAGAGCAGCGTCTCACTCAGCGTTCCCGCCCAACATCACATGAAAGCAGCACAATAGAAATGAAGCTTTATGATTGGACTCAGCAGCTATCTGAAGCACGGAGAAGCTGATGTTATGACGGTGACAGGTCGCGTGTACCTATTAAGATCCCTCATCATGAGGTTTTGGAACTCCGATGAGATGCCCCTGTTGAAGCTCGGCCGTGACAGCAGCCTGTCCGTCTGTCTCTCCTGCACTCTGTCCGTCTGGTGGCTGGGCTGCCTCTGGAGGTGAGGGTTACGCAGGGCCATGCTGATGTCGTTCAGGAGGCGAGGCAAAGGACCCAGCTTGATGATGGCGTCCTGCGGTTAAAGGAGGAAAAAAAGAAACGACGCTTTGCTGCAGATTTATAACATAATTCATTTTAGTGTTATCTAACATAAGTGCTTCATTAAAATGCCATCTATCCACCTCCACTCACCTGCTGCTGGAAAGTTACTGACAGCTCAGGCCTGATGAATGACTTAGAGTCTGATTTAGCGTTTGAGGTGAGAGAGCAGTCGGACATTTTCAGACCCAGTTCAGTCGTAACACCACATGTTTAGTCTGAGTTTGGCCGCACAGTGATAAAACCCAAAGTGGGCGGAGTCACCTGAGCAGCACAGAAATGAATAGGACTGACCTACTCTGGCAATTAAATTTAAACCATGATTGTGTGGCCGGCTACTCGACTTCACTACGTCAGCATGTTAGGCTAGTAGCATTGTCATACATGGCTCGTGGTCACATGTGTGTGTTAGTAGTTGGCATGAGTCAGCACACTGTGTGATACGATATTATCAACAGCAGGATCACATAGATGTACGTTTGCTGTTTCACTATGGAGCTCAAACATCACGTCCAGCGTCAGTCAGCAGCTGGGCTCATGTGAAGGATCATCAGAGGTGAGTGAGTCTGCAGCTCCCACCCAGAGAAGCAACAACAGCTTTCACAACGAAGACGTGCATCAGGAGCATGCGTTCTGTTTTGTTCAACATTCCTGAGAATGAATCCTCCAGACCTGGAGCGTGACGGCAGAGTTCTACGCTAACACCTGGAGGGAGAACAATCGGCACAAATGCCCTGAACTGACGGGACGTGGTCACTCTGATGCACGGTTTGCCCGTTTGCAGCGCGGTGGTTACACACTGGTTCCATGGTTACGACAACATGGCTGCCTACTTTCTCTACCTGCCAGATTTAACTCCCGCTGACCTCTTCCTCTTGAACGAGGATCTTTTGAAGGGTCACTGTTTTGACACAGTTGAGGAGGATTCGGGGCTCCACATGTTAATACAAGGAGACTTTAGGGGGTGTTGGAGGCAGGAGCACTGGGAGCACTGGGAGCACTGGGAGCTGTGTGCATCGCTGCATTAGGAGACTATAACGGGCGAATGTAAATCAGGATTGCTTTTTAATTTTTAAGGATGCAGTTTTGGAATTATTTGATCTCCCTGAACATGGTTAGGAACACAGAACTATTATCACACATATAACATGAAACACTGCAATAAAAGAGATGTCATGAAAGAAAACAACAAAAAAAACAAGTGTCCCCGAAATAGACAATAAGCATGGCTGTAGATTAAACTGTAGTTCATACTGAGCAAACAGTGAGCAAGCAGCAGCAGTTTCCCACAGTTCAAACAGTGTGCGATGGAAAACGAGCGTGGACTGTAAAACAGAGGAGCTGCCACTCTGCTGCTCACCTTGCTGAGCTGAGCCATGACCTCCCAGAGGAGACTGTGCAGTATAGACAGCTCCCTGCCCAGGTCGATGTATCCCTCAAAGCCTCCGGCATTGCTGACGCTGTCCAGGTTGGAGATCTCGTACAGGAACTGCTGCATGGAGCCCCACTCCATCTCCAGAAACTCATTCATGAAACACATGTACTCCTCTTTACTGCCAAACCTGCGAGTGGGCAATAAGGGGAGGAAGGAGATATGTCCACAGGGAGGGTAGAAAAGAGACGCAAAGGAGGAGAAAGAAGAGGAGAAGAAGATGTGAGCAACACATGATGATGAATTAAACAGGAATCATAACAATCATTAATTACATTTTGTTTTTTACCCATCTTACGAGGTAGTTATGGGGCAAATAAACCAAACTGTTACAGAAACTGTGCATAAACGTCATTTTCTTTTAGCAAGTAAAGTGTTTTTTTTTTTTTTTTTTTTTTTTCCAACAGTTTGAGGAAAAAATAGGGAACATTTTGCCTCATTGTCGAAGTGTACAGTACGTGAACAAGCACACCGCTTCCTCCCATGTTCACAATAAACAGTTCCTCTACTGAGCATGTCTGGAGGTGCACCACAGGGTTCAGTCGTTGGCCCGGTGATATTCACCACCACATCGATCCCGGCTCCATTTATTTTGTTCTAAATATGTTGAGAGAGTTCTGCAGAGTTCTAGTGATGTTTTCAGTGGAACATCTAAAGGTTGCATAACTAAAGACGTTCCAAAAACGTTGAGTGATGACATTAGCGTTTTTAAAACATATTCCCAGTGGTACATTGATAATAACCTTCATTTGTTTTCATGTAACATCATGTGACATGGTAGGAATAAAAGAACACTCATCAGAATATTGGAGGCAAACGCTGATAATAAATCACTTTAAAGGAACTAAAACTCATCTGATGTTGGTCTGAGAACATTCTTCCTTTGTTATCGTTGTCATGACAACATCCTCCAAAGTTCCCCTAAATGCTGAACTTCTTTTCTTAGTGAACTTTTCAGCTTGTAGGAACATTATTAGAAATGATATATCCTTAACACGACTTCTTTAACACATTATTAGAACTCGTAGGAATGTACTCGGGCACAAATATTCCAAATGTTAAACTATTTGCAGACGACACTGCTGTTTTTTTTTTTTTTACTGTTCTGCTGATTGGCTCATGCCTTTTCTCTCTCTTATGATGATCTAAGTACAGTTCTGAAAGCAGCTAAGGGTGGAGGCTGCTATCACGAGTCTTTTGGACACTGCAGAGAAGAACAAGACATGTAAAAGTATTTTAACTTTCATTTTTACTCTACAAATCAACCCTTTTGTGAATCCAGGAAGAGACGGGCTGCCTCTGTTTTAACCTTTGATTGAAATATAGACTGAACAGTTATGATCAGCGTTACAGGATCCACCAGAGTGCCTGCACAGGTCAGTGAACGGTGGGCGAGCGAACATAAAGGTTGTGATGAAATCAAATACACTGACTTGGAGAAGTTAGCCAGGTTCTGCACCACTTTGGCGATGAGGGTGAGTGTGCGTGACGTCTGCTCGTCGGGATACTCCTGCGTGAGGTTGAAGAGCGACGGGGACATGATGGCGGGACACAGGAAGCGCAGGAACAGAGAGCCGCTGATGAGGCGGTCGGCGATGTCCTCCCGACCCCGCTCAGCACAGCGCACTCTCCAGGAGGCGAAGACTTCCTTTAGCTCTCGAGGGAACACACTGCAAAGGGGTTTAATACGGTTCAGGATCAAATGTGGTCGATCAGATCAAATGAACATGCTGCCTGTTTAAAGCAACCTGAGTTGACCAACGTGCTGTTCATGTTGTCAGACAGTCAGCAACAAAACTCTACGCAAATACAGTCGTGACTCGATAACCCGACACTAAATACACAGCAGATCACATACAAGTCGCATTGAACTGGAAACGTGAAGGAAGTCACAAAGAAATCCTCATTGAGCATCAAGTCCTGCAGTGTGAACGTAGCCAATCTGTGGGATTGTTCAGTCAGATAATACGCCGTCATCCTGATTGGTGACATTAAATGTCATGTCGGAGTCACAATCCAAGGCTGTCGCTATGTTAAGGCTGTTTTTATGGGTTCTGTTGGTTTTTCCTAAAAACCTGTCAGATAGCAGGTTTAGGATTGTTAAGGGTCGATTATCCAGTCACGACTAAAACAGAATAAGGACAGCAGCCTGTAAGATCAGTTTCTAAAACAAGACAAACATGAACTATTAAAACCATGAAGAGCAGCTGAGAACATGTACATCTAAAGGCTCCATCTTCCTGCAGAGTTTCCTCGTTGTCCTGTGAAGGAACCTTGAGCCACATTCGGTACAGACCAGAGGAATCAACACACTGAATACTCCCACCATCTCTTTCTGTTTTTTTAATACCTGCTAACTACTCACCAATGGGAATTAACGATCTTGCAGAGTGCCAGCTCACAGCACATTCGCAGATTGGCTTGGTGGTCCGGCAGTACAGAGGGCGGTGTTCTCATGGGGTCCACTTCGCAGTTCTCCTCTGACTCATACAGGGCCCTTATGAACTCCCCTGCAAGTGACATTTCATCAGGAACAAATCCAGTCTTATTCATATGAAAAACAACATCAGTAACCGACTGTCAAATGAAAAGAATCCATTTTGGGTGAATACAGATTTCTTCAAGTGCAGCGCTGGAACCGGACCTGCTGCTGTTTGTTTAAGACCAGAAATAACACGTGGAGGTCCAGTTTATGAGCCAACATGTTGCTTCACCTCCACCTGAGCTGGAGGGCTGCCCTGGCTTCATCAGCAGCTTCTTGTTTTTATGGCAGCCGGCTTCCTTTAGGTGGCGTCGCTGCTTCCGCTGGGCTTTAATGAGACGCTACCATCCTGTTCTACTACAAACTTATAATTAGTCCGGTTGCTTCCAAAAAACCTTATTATCCATTTTCTCAAGCTGATCTTTCACCACTGCCCTTCCTTCCTCCTAATAGTTTTTTTATTTCAGTTTCTATTTAAAAGAATATAATAAAATCAGGCCCCCCTTCCTTTGCCTGACTCTGAACATGAAGCCAGTTGGCTGTTGACCTTCTAGCACCTGTACCTTCACTGAAAAGTCAAAACACCCACAAAAACTACTGAAATCCATTTAGCTTGTAGAGTGAAATCCTCAGAAAGAAACCGTTTACATACCACAGGAGTGTTATAACTGTTATTTTTAATAAAATGACGACAAAAAGATTTTAAAAGCGATAAAGTGGAAATCTTACAGGTTTCCATGTTGTTCTCTCTGGCAGCGATTCAAACTATGTGACAGTCAGTGGTGCAAAGTAACTGAGTACATTACTCAAGTACTGTACTTCATTACAGCTTTGGGCCACTTGTATGTCTCTCAGGAATCTACTTTATCCCTCTACACACTGTGCTTTCTCCTACGTTGATCTGAGAGCTTTCTAATCATATAACTTTACACATAACAAGCTTTCCAGCTGGAACACGGAGCTACAGAACAAACCAGCCGTGGTCTCAGACGTCCATCAGTCGTTGATGTTTCCACCAAATCGTGAGTTTCCTTCTAAATGTCTCTCATGTCTTACCTACATCTACCTCAGTCGGGTGCACACATGCAGTGATTAAGTATTTCTATTTTGCTTCTTTGGTATTTTTTCTAGTTCTGTGTAATTCTTGCACCTCTGGTGACATCGTTCAGCCTGGTGTCCCCTCAGCCAAGCCTCCAGAACAACACAGAGAAAGGAGAAGGGAACATCTGACTGCTGGCCGATGGAACAGGTCCAGGACTGTTTCCACAGACACCAGGTTTCTATCACTGTCATACCAGGACTTCATACGTTCATACGTTTGGCGACAGAGAGCGAGCTGGCAGACATTTATTTAAATCAAATTCTTAGAGAGTGCCACTTTTAAAGTCCAGCAGAGCGACTCACTCCGTCAGAAACCTGCACCACTAAGGCAGTAAAAGCCAAAGCACATCCTCCGATGTGAAGGAACTGAATCACTGCTGTTCTCTCGTCTGGTCTGTTGCAAAGCTTTTAGAGCTGATGTTAAAACTGGACGTCCTGTTTTCCAAGGCTGCCTCCACGTCACCCAGCAGCTCAACGTGAAATGCATCAACAGACAAAGACGGACGGAGAAAGCAGGGAGCAGCTAAAGATTATTATCAAGACTGTTTTCATCGTTAAATCACCTTCTGGACGTTTCCTCTATTAATAGATTCACTGTTTGGTCAATGAAATGTCAGGAAATGATTAAAAATGTCAATTAACAAACATCTTGTTGACTGTGACAGAGGAGCAGAGACACGAGAACATGCTCACATTTAAGAAGTCTGAATAAGAGAAGTTGTTTTTTTTCCTTAAATTATTCGTCAAAGCAATTAATGGATTTTAAAAACAGCTGATGATTAATTTAATATTCGACAGCTAATTAATCAATCATTGCAACTTTTGAAGAAGTCTTTGTCCTCATTTTACTTTCCTTCAATTCAGTTTTCTTTATTTTTATATAAGTTTATTGTCAGTTTGCAGTTATTTCACTCTGACTGAGTGACGGTGGCGACCGTCCTGATGTCGAGCAGCGGTTCTTAGTTTTCCTGTAACTGGACCATCAGGACACATGAAGCTCTGTTCTCTCTCTAGTTGCTCATCATTCACACAGACATCAGCACTGAGCCACGATATCCACATAATTCAACGTATCATCCCACAGCAACGCAAAGAAAAGATGAATTTGACTGAGTAAGCTGGAAAACATACCATGGCTCAACCAAAACCAAACCAACGCCTCCAAGCAGGGTCACAGGATCTACAGGAGGATTTCTCCTTTAAATCAAAGTTTGGTTGTTTTAAAACCTTTAAAAGTTCATCGACTGAGTTTGAGACAAACTGAAACGAGGAGATGTGCCTCGCTGCTTTTCCTTGCGGTCTTATTCTTTGTCTCTTCCTTCCTGTCTCTCAGGTCTGAGTGTGGACTTGTGTGTTCGGGGATGCTGACCCACTTTCCCTCTGCTGGCAATCATCAGACACACCTGAGTCCTGCAGCATAAAACCTCCTGCTCTACTCTCCAGATCATTCTGCCAGCACACGCTGTACAATCACCTGCTCCTACTTATTGTTTGCTCGCTGACACTGACCTTCCTTCCACCTGTGTCTCAGGTTCAAACCTTGGAGTCCTCTCTTTGACCATGCAGCCCTTTCCCCTCTCTACTGCCATGGATCTTCATGCTGGGCCCTAAGCTTCCTGGATTCCCTCCTGGATGGTGTTCACCCGCCGACAACTCAGTCAGATGCCTTCCAAGAAATCCCCTCTAAGTGTTCCTCACCCTCATCTCAGACTGTCCCAGTAGAACATCCTGTAATGCATTACTACGTGCATGTGGGTCCAGGTTAAGTCCTGGTGAACATGGCTCTGGTGGTGGAGCAGGTTGAATTTCTAGACAAGATGCTGAACCCCAGGCGCCTTGCATGGCAGCTCCTCCACCATCAGTGTGTGTGTGTGAAAGGTTCTGGAACCGAATGTTAAAGAAGTTCTGACTATTTTTCTGAACCCAGAACGGGCTCTGGACGGTTTTTACTCCCGTCACGTTTCTACTCACTGTGGGTTTATTATCCTGCACCTCTATGAGAACAGCACAACCACGGCTGAACTGTGTCTGCTGTGCAGTCCGACACCGACCCAACGGCACAAATCATTAGAAAAGAAAAGCAAAAGCTGAATTTCTTCGATTACTTATTTTACAAAAAAATAACTAAATCTTCTTCAAGTTTCCACAGCTGTTACCAATAAATACCTGATGGAATGGTGGCTCTACGTCTTACAGATATTTTATTATTTACATTATAATTAGTTTCCATATGGATCTGGTCTGTGGAGACGCAGCCTGCAGCTCGGTCCAGTTCAGCTCGGTCCAGTTCAGCTCGGTCCAGTTCAGCTCAGAAGCTGCTGGTTGCTGCTGAGTCGGCTTCACGGTTGTGAAGATGACTGTAGAAGTTTTTGGTTTCATACAGAATCTGGTGAATATAAGGGATGTTTTATTGACAAATCATTAACTGAGATATTTAAAAAAGTAAATAAATAAAAAAAGTGAAAGAACATCAGGTTTGAAGCTTCGATGTGAATCATGTTCTGATGAGTGGTTCTTATCAGAACGATGAACGATTCTTCCTGTTTTTACTTTCTGTGATAAAGGCAGAACTTTTCTAACTTTACATTTTGAAATAAACGACAGCATCCTCTGGTGGATTTTGGGCTGAACAGGGTTCATCTCATCCAACACAAGAACCCCCCCACTGTGACTCACCGATAGCATCCTTGAGGTACTTATGTCCGATCAGTTTGAGGTACTCTTCTATGGCTTTGGTGGCCAGAGTGTTCTCTCTGAAGATAAGGTGTTCTCGGTCGATGAATCTGTCTACCTCACACATCGCCATGTCCGAGAGGAAATCCTGGACACAAGGAGAACAAAATCATTCCTCTTCTAACAAACACGGCGTTTCTGATCACAGGAACTGACGCAACATGCCAACAGGTAGAGGAGTCGGTGCCCACCTTAGCCTTCCCTGTGCTCTGCAGGATGTGCACCAAAGCACAGGCCACCTCCTCTTTGCTCTTCACACTCAGCACTGGCTCCAGCACGGCACACAGGGTGCGGTAGTTATTGGTGACATACTCTGCAAACTCCTTGTACAGCTCCATGGGCAGGATGTTCATGGTCTGGAAGCGGGATTTGAGGCGTAGGGATGCGTTGATGATCTTCCCTCCTCCGACTCCAGCCCCCTTGGTGAGGACGCTGGGCTGGATGACCGGGTACCACTGCTCCACAAACTGGCGTCCGGTGATGCTGGAGATGGGGATGCTCACGAGTCCTAAGTATGTGCTCTTTTCCTTCGGGGGGGAGAAAGATGTTAGTTGTGATGAGCATGTGTCACAGAAAAGCCATGTCTTTGTACTGCACAAAAACAAAGTGAGAAATGTCACAAAAAGTTCATTTTAAGCTTTAGCAGTGAATTAGTAATGACCAGCAGGACGAACTGGATCCCCGGAGTGCTCCTGAAGCTATGGCGACGGCGGCGCTGCTCTTCTACTAAACTGAGAACTGAAACGACCGGATCTGCGACTCCGTCTTAATTCTCTTGCTTTTAAATTGTATTATTTTTAAAACTGACAAAACCTAAAGAGGAAAGAAGTGAGACTTTTACTGCCAAATAACAGAGAGCGGCCCTAATGCTCAGCCTCTCCAGGGGGTCCACTGGGTTGTTAATCCCAGGCACTGACTTAATGATTAGTTCATCAATTACTGTTTCTTGCTTTTCTTGCTCTTGAACGCACTCCGCTTCCCTCCAACCCAAACGATGTAAACGGCGTAACTGTAATCGTTCTGCTGTAAAGCCAATAGAGAAAATGACAAAGACTGATCTGGTGCCTCTCCTGATTGATAAACTAGAACTTTGCATAATAGTTCCTCCTCACAGTGTGTCCTCTCATCATCTGCTTGTGTTTGTTGAATGAACGCTCACGTTCAGTATTACTGTAGCTCTGTTTCCATAAAACCACAGCGCTGCTCTACACAAAGTGATGCTAAAACAAGCCACAAACTGATCGGCCACAACAACAAAAACAGCTGAAGATGATCTCTTTATGAGACGTCTGTCGGTGGGTTGGATTTATCAGGGACCAAGTGAACAGTCGTTTCTTGAAGTTGATGTGTTGGAAGCAGGAAAACTGGGCAGCGTGAGCATCTGGGAGACTTTGCCAACGGTGCTGGCTGGACGACGGGGGCAGAGCATCTGCACAACACAGGTCCTGTGGGGTTTTCCTGGTGTGCAGCGGTTACAGCTACTAAAAGAGGTCCAAGGAAGGATTACCGGTAAACTGGAGACCGAGTCATGGGCGCCCAAGGCTGACCCGATGACAGAACGGTGTTCAGACACACAGAGCATCACATCTGGTTGTGTATGGAGCTATGCAGCTGCAGACCGGTAAGAGCGCTGAAAGCAGCAATACGTTGGCCACATGAGCACCAGAACTGGGCCGAGGAGCGATGGAAGACGTCGGCCTGCTACCACCAAACAAATCCACAAACCTCTGCAGACATTTTCAGATTCCAAGAGGTGTTGCAGGAGCAGACTAAATGCTTCTAGATGGAAACTAACAGACCTACAACTGAGAAAAACACTGAAATGTGATGACAGAAGTTTCTCAACAGCACACTTCTGATTGGGCCGGCACTGGGAAGACTGGGTGGAAGTCTGTTTGAACGGGATGGGGAAGTGCATGGTGCCACGGCTTGAGGGAGGTGGCCCGGTCTGATGGATCCCATCATCGTGTGGATGGCCGGTGCTACCTGGGAAGACATGGCAGCAGAATGCCCTACGGGAGGATGGCAGCCGGTGGAGGCAATGAGCTGCTTGGAAACCTTGGACCTCTGTCGAAAACACTGCTCAGGAATAATGTGAGGAACATGACTTAAGGTTCTGACTTGGCTCTCAGTGGATCTGCTGCTGATGTCTAGGACACCTTCAGAGGTCTGTGGACTCCATGTATGGACAGATGAGAGCTGTTTTTGACCTACACAGTATCAGGCAGGTGGTTTAGAGTCGTGTGTGATTGGTGCACATTACCACAGTTCTTTTGCAGACACTCCTGCAGATCTCACCTTGCGTCTCTTCTTGTCCGTCTCCTTGTATAGATGAAGGCGTAGGTTGCGGACGGCTGGTAGGTTGTTGAATTCAAAGTGCTCGCCCCAGAAAACGGTGTCGGTGCGGGGTTTGCTGGTGGTGCGTGCGTACAGCATGTCATCCAGGCAAAGTTCGCAGTAGTAGCGTTTCTTGGCTGGAAGCTCGCGGGCCTCTATGATCCACAGTTTGAGCACATTGTCCACCCTCCGGCTGTTGTCCTGTGTGGAGACCAAGTCGGGTCAAACAATGTCGAGCGCACCTAATAACAGAGTCACTATAAAGCTTTGCAGAGAGAAGATGATAGAATGCAGGGGGAAAACATGACAAACAGCGAAGGAAAAAAAGACTCAGTGACGTGGAAGCAGAGGCAGTGTCTGTGAATAAAGGGCGACAGCAGGTCAGCCTGCAGGAGGACGGAGTCAATGACAGGAAAGAGATGGCAGGTGACACGGCGGCTGGGCTGCTGAGGACAGTCGGCTGCGCTTCATAAACTGCTCTCAACGCTCGACTTGAATATGGAGACGGAAGACAACGTGACAGACACACAAAAGAAAGACAACAGAAATGTGAAGGATAAGACTTCTTACAAAAAGTGATCCACTTAAACACAGAAAAACACAAACGGCACAAAGCACATGTGCTGCAAAGATGAGGGACAAACAATGGCGGTAATGTTTGTGCAGACAGCTACACTTCCTAATCAAAATCACAAAGCCCCAGCTATATGTGACATCCCCCATGGGAGGAGAGGAGAGAGCGCCGTGTTGATTGCAGAGTGATGTTTCAGCGAACGGGGGCTGACTCATTTCAATTGGACTGAAATGCCATTGTTGTTAGCCCCCTGTTTGCTTCAGACTATTTAAGTCCTAATTTAGACGGCTCAATGTGCGAGCATCATCCAGATCCACAGTTCTTAAGTTCTCCATTTGTATGCTCTTTGATAACCGGCGCCAAACACGAGGCATAATTAATTCCAAACCCCTGAGTTTGAATGCGCCGGGCATCTGGTGGCTCAGTTTGCTCGTGCACACACAGTGCAGCAGCAGCAGCATGAGCCCAAGTCCTCCGCCTTCATCTCGTGTTACAGCTTCCCCCAGATCCCGTCTTATCTGGGCTCTGCTATCAAAGGGCTGATAAAACACTGAACCGGGGTGGAGTGGACACTCTGCTTTTGAATACGGAGAAACAAACAGCCGAACCTCAAAGACGGAATTTTTAAAAAAAGGCTCCAGAAAGTTAAGGAGAATGCTGCTATTCCTGCGGCGAGTCTTATCGCTGTCGGTGCATCTGGTCTGAGATGCGCGGTGCGTGTTGTTTGGGGGGAGGAGGGGGTTTTGGAGAGAGCACCCGCGTGGAGTCCTTGGAGCTCCATGACTCAGCCAGGACCCCCGCGGCCCGAGCATCTGGACGAGGCGCTCGGCTCGGCTGATGCTTCATCTCAGTCTGGCTTAATAACTCTTTAGTCCCTGGTTGCCATCAAAGCTGCATATCTCGCATGCCTGCTCACTCTTAATAACAGCGAGGGGAGACGTGGGACAATTTCACAGAACTATGGGTGAAAATTAGGATATTGGTGTTATTTGAAGCCGATATGAAAGCCTGAGATGAGTTATATTCTAGGCTGTGGGGATGAAAACAAGATCAGAGTACCTTCAGGCTGCACGGGGAAAGATTTCTATGTGGAAACACGCCGGCTCATCTTCCTAAATTGCACAGTAGCGCTTCAAAAAAAATGAGAGCATCTCATGTGCACGGATACGTGTCAGATATGGACACACTGGAAATGGGCCTCATGTAAGAACAGACTTCATCCTAAAGCACAACCACAAGCGCTGCAGCTCCGATTCCTCCATTAAAGTGGCAGTCTGGGGTTTTTGGTCAAAATTCCATAACAACCTTTCAGTTTATTGTATTTCAAGTGGTCTGAGAGGAGACGAGACATCTGCACCTCCTCATGGCTCCGTCTTCAGGCTTTTGGAGATCGAGCCTGTGACGAGACACTTCAGCCAATCACAGGGGTTGGAGAGGCTGTTCAGAGAGCAGGCGTCGCTCCTAGTGGCTGTTGTACAAATGAAGATGAGGATGGATGCCTCTTTAGAAAAGGAAAAGCCTGATTTAATGGAGGAACATTGGTAATAAGGGCCTACACCCGAGGAGAGGAGGACGGATGGATCAGAAGCAGAGTCTGACTATAAATGCAATAAAACTCTTGTCAATATGTGAAGCACACTCATGTAACTGGATGTACACGCCGTCACTACTACGTTCTGAGTCTGCCATCCTTCTCCTGGACAGGTGAGCTGCTGACTGCAGGTACATCTAGTTGTGATGACGTCTCTGCTGAATGCTGCTCCTACTTTATTGCTCTGTTAGCTGAAGCCAAAGGCTCACCGCTGCAGCTGACTCAGGTTCAGCTTCAAGCTCGTGGTTCCTGTCCACCTGAAGCATACGTCCATGCTGTCAGGTGGAAGGAGCTCCGGACAGCAAGGGGAAGGGCTTCAAATCCTTTGTTCTCCATTTTTCTGTCCAGCACCACTTTAACTGCACAAGTACCTCATAAGATTTGGTCTTGAACATAATCCATACCCCTAACAGAACCGTTTACTTCCAGTCTGTGCTGCTCAATGTCAAGTCCTGCTGCAGAAAACCAACACATCCTGTAACAGCTATTAGAGGTTTGAAAAGAAAATACTGTTACTGAAGAAAAGTAAAGCCTTAGAAATTAAAAACCTCTAAATTGGAAACTATGATGTTGATATGATGCAGCTATTGTTCATATTTGCTCCAAACCAGTGTTCAGACTGCTGGTGAAGAACCAACTGGTGGTTTTCAGTGGAAGTCGGAGACATCAGGCTACAGACTGCTGCCTGGTGAACGCTGGAGTCACCTTCATGATGTGCTGAAGCATCAACCAGTCATACGTTCCTGTTTCAGCCTCCCTGCTTCCTTTCTCTGTCTTGTTCTGTCTCAAAAATAGAAGAAAAATGTGCTCCTGCCGTTAGCTTGAGCTATTTAAACCGACCTATTCCCATGTTTTAGTCAACGCGGGCTTCAGGGACCTAAAACAGCAGCTTTGCTGCTTGTCAACCGCTCTGGACTGCTGGTGAAGCTTCTGTGTATTAAAGAGAAAGTTCAGAGTAGAGGAAGATCACTGGACGCCACAAACTCTCTGAAAATCACTTGCTTTTGCCACTTAAGAGCAAATCTGACTGTACGAGTGGTTCTTGCATGAGGCTCATTATCTCCATGTCTGATCTGTTACCTCCTCTCCGTTAGCATCACAGACACGCCGGGCAGGTAGCCGCGCTGTGTGCAGCTCACTGATATCACATCATGTGACTAGTGGTTGTTCAGCATCAGTGTGGGTCCTCCACCCTGAAACATCACCTGGTGCAGCAGCAGCAGCAGCAGCAGCAGCAGCAGCAGCAGCGGCGCTACGTTTGTTTGGAGAAGCCACTGAACTGCTCAACACAGACACACACAGACACGAGGATGGATTCACACAGAGGAATGAGGCGGTGCGCTGTACTGAAGACAGACAACAACGGGAGACGGGAGGAGAGAGAGAGACACACAGACAGAGGGATCAGCCTCTTTTTTCTTCCTCTACCGCATCCCTTTCTCTCCCCTCACCTTGTTGGGCTTGACAGCTCTCTGCAGGTTCTCGATCCATTTGTCTCTCTCTGCAGCTGAGCGACACGCAAAGCACTTGGTTCCCGATGCCGTAGTCACCTGAGGTTATAGCCAACGGTAAATTCAACAACCACAGCCATTAGTCACTATGGAGACTGCAGCTAAGACGCCAAAACAATGTCTTGTATTCACGCTGAACCTTTGTTATGCTCCACTAATGGAAAGCTGACGGAAAAGCTCAGAGCTTATTTCATGTCAAAAAAAAAACAAAAACTCCTCTTTTCTTTTCACATCACTTTCACTTGTCAACATATGTGGTGCCACTTCCAGCTGTGTGAGTGCAGTGTGTCCAGCTCACCTCAAAGCAGTACTCCTGTCCCAGGATGCTGGAGTGCACAGGTTTGATGATGGCGTCCTCATCCAGAGTGAGGTCCAGCGCCTCGGCGGCGCTGCTTGGAGACAGCAAGGACTCATGGGAGTGGGACTCTTTGAAGCTCTGCATCAAACGGGTCCTGGGAGAGCGATAGTTGGTTAGATGTGGAGCGAGGAAGGCGGCTCGGGCTTCTTTAACAGCGAACAAGAAACTATAGGAGATCTCTTTTTGTCACACATCTAAAATGTGGAGCCTTTCATTTTCCTCTTCATCTCTGTGAGCAGAAACATACGAACATGTGCTGCCCGGCGTGAGCTGCAGGAACACCGGATCAATCAGCTCGTCAGGCACCATGAATCTGGTCCGACATGAAGTCTGGTTCCTTTAAGACGTTTCCATAAAACGGTCGTAACAGCAAACAGCCTGAGACGATCTTCTTTCTAAAACACGTTTCTTTAAAACAGAAATCACGACTTTCATTTTAGATTTCAGCCGCCGTCACAGACTTATAATAAATCTGAATGTTTAATGTTTGAAACCAAGCCTTGCTTCTGATCAGGTACAGTTTATAGACGCTTCTTGCTTCAATTTATTGATTAATTTGATGTGACGTCATTTAAAAATTAAAAAAAATTCTAATGAAAAAAATCTATTTTACACTTTGTCTATTTATTTATTTACATGACTTGTCTTCTGCTAAACTAAAACCATCCACTCAGATGCTTTCATGATAATAAAGTCTAATCGGTTTTTAATCATTTCTATCTATTCTTTTTTTTTATTTGCCTTTATTTCACTCTTCTGTGTTGTTATCAGCTCATCGGTCCTCATGAAGCTCTTTGAACGGCACTGAGCTGCGTTAAAGCTGCTAAAGTTTGACTGATTGATGGAGCTAAGTCATAAAAACTAACTAACAATTAGTCAGAGCCATTAACCTTGTTTCACTGACACACAGTAGAAATAAAAAATAATTAAAGTGTCCCATTGACATTATTTGACAGGCAGCTGTGAAGCCACGCGCTTCATTAGCAGAATCCTAAAGAAGATCCAGTAGAACCCAGTGAAGTGTTCCTCTGCTCTTAATCTGAAAAGCCCGTTAAAGCCTCGTTTGAAATGGAAATGACTGCTTGTGTCATGTGAGCAGTTCAAAAGGGTTTCGCTTGTTCCTGGAAACCAAGAAGTTAAAAGGACGGATGCATATTCAGCACATCAGCAGACAGACAGACAGACAGACAGACAGACAGACAGACAGACAGACAGACAGACAGACAGACAGACTGACCCACGGCTTCCCTCCAGGCTGCACACGCTAAAAGTCTACAGACAATACTGTAAAATCATTCTTAATAACATCATTAATCCAGATGCACAGGCTCACGCTAATCAGTGAAGGGAGCCTCTGCTGAAGCCCATCCATCACTCTCACCTCCACGCCCACGCACACATGCATGCATCCAGAGCCAGCAGACACTCACGACGACACGAGGAGTCGAACCGGAGCGCGAGGAGGGACGCTCAGGTGTGATGAAGCCCCTCGGAGGAGAACAGGGGGGATGGAGTGGAGGAAAAAATGAAAGAGAGAAAAGAGGCTGTACGTCCTGGGCTCTGCGTCCGGCGCTCAGCTCCTGCCTGCTCGCTCTCCTGCTGCTTTTGTCTACGTTCAATCATAGCGCTCATCAACAGAGCACTGATTACATGTAAGGGACCAGGGGGGAGAGAAACACAGAGAGCGAGGGAGAGATAAAAATAGACCCAAAGGAATGAGTCAGATTGAGTGGAGAAGAGAGAGGAAGAGTGGGGGAGGTCACGGGAGGATGAGAGGGAGGGAAGACTGAAGGGGAGAAGGGCTGAGGCTGGGGGATCGAGGGAGGAGACCTCTCACAAGAAATCATGTTAATTATGTAAACAGTGGATCCTTTGGAGAGGAAGAAAGTGAGAGTATGGATGGGAGGGGAGGGGAGGACGCTGGAGTCGGGTCGGACCGGGTGACGGCGCCGAGAGGAGAGCAGAGGAGCTGGAGAAGAACGAAGCACACACCTGAGAAGAAACCAACCTGGGCGGCAGCGGCGATGCCCGACTAGAAACAAGGAGCCCGGGAACATGTTCTGGGTTCTGTGGACCTGAACTGAATCAGAACAGGCCCAACAACAAACAGCACACAGAAACAGAACTGAGGTCAGAACAGCTCCGGTCCGGTTTCTATCAAACTAAATATGAAAACCAAACTGTTGTTTATTCAATAAAGTTTGACAAGAAACTAACTGACGGTTAAATAAATGAAATATAAATATTTTTACATAAATGAGCATCGACTGACTTTGTGATGCTGCCTTCAATGAACCTGAGAAACAGAGAATCAGATATAAAAATCACTTTGGACCAACAACAAACAAAAGCTTTCAGGCTGATGTCAGGTTATGAAACCTGATCAGAATAATCTAACTTTAGTAAAAAAAAAACTCTCTGATTATTGCCAACTGATTTAGAACTGAGGGGTCTAAGAACAAAGTTGTAACTGAAACGTTATCGTTCTCATTATTTAAACTCCTGATGCTCCTGAACTCACCACCTCCGCTTAGAGGAGCTGAAACACCCAAAGCACAGCTCAGACTGATGGACGGTCTTCAGCTTTACGGGCTTTCAGTTGTAAACTGAAGAACAGCGTCGGACACATTTAATGTTGACCTGATGGTGGCGCTAAAAGAATTTAGAATTAAGTCCTTCATGGGAACGTGTCGTCCAGCTGGAGTTCATCTGTCCGCCCGTTATTTCTGTCCACTCGCTCACAGGGAGCTGCTGGACTCGTCCGGTCCTGACCTGAAGCCTCCTCAGATGACTTAAGCTGAATAAATGAAGCCGAACTGGACTGAAGCCTTTCACCGGGAATCTGATGCCAGCGCTGGACGGAGAGTCACAGGATCTCCACAGTTATAACACTGAAGCACGAGGGAACCGTGAACACTGGACCAGACTTCATGGATGTTTCTGACTGTCATCCTTGGACCTGGGCTGCATGTTGGCTTGGTGGTTAGCACCGTGGCCTCACAGCTAGAAGGTCGCCGGTTGGCGTCCCGGTGAGGACACCCGGGATCTTCCTGCGTGGAGTCTCCATGTTCTCCCCGTGCAGCGTGGGTTCTCTCCGGGTTCTCTGGCTTCCTCCCACAGTCCAGAAACATGTTGAGGTTAATTGGTGATTGTAAATTGTCCGTAGGTGTGAATGTGAGTGTGCTTGGTTGTCTGTCTCTAAGTGTAGCCCTGTGATAGACTGGTTACCTGTCCAGGTGAACCTGCCTTCACCCTGAGTCAGCTGGGATAGGCTCCGCCCCCCATAGTGAGGATGAAGGTGTAGAGATGATGGATGGATCCTTGGACCCACATCATGAGTTTTATGTTTCTCTGTTTTGTGTCATTAAAAATGGATGAAATCTTCGTTTTCACATCATTTGTTCAATCTGAAGACGTCACTGTGGGTTGAGGGAAACATCATTTTTCACAATCTTGAGACGTTTTATGGGACAAACAGTGGATCAGTGGTCTGAGACGTACTGAGCAGACTGACTGATAATAACACTGTTAAAATGTGAAGGACAGAAAACCTCTTACACCTGGATTCAGGTCATCTCAGGACACAAAACTATCAGAAACCAGTCTGGTTTCAGCGTCCTGCCCGAGCCGGTTCTGGCATGCGGAGCGGCCGAGGAACAAACCCCCAACGCTGCAATCAGCAGACAATTCGCTCCAGCACCTGAGCCACAGCTGCCTGCACATCTTTACACTTTCCGAGGTCCTCGCAGAGCGCCGACATGCTGCCGAAAAACAGGCTCACATATGTTTTTAGTACCAGCAGGGGGCTGTGTGGCACAGAGGCATGCTGGGTTGTTTGCACAGGACACCCAGACCCAGTGTGCTTCTGCTTGTTAAAAGGAATTATTGAAAAATTATGTGCAAAAATGTGCATCGCTGCAGGTTTTAGAGCCTGTTTGGGAGCCCAGAGGCACGTTTATGTCTGCATGAATTTTCAGTCCATGCTGGAAAAAGACAAACCTCCCTGGATAAATAAAGATAAAAAAAATAAAATAGAATAGAAATGAACAAAAGCTGCAGATGTTCGGCAGCATCCTGACAGAAAACATCCAGAGTAAAGCAGGAGCTGTGAAAATGAATACGAGCCGTGAGGGCCTTGGCAAACAGCCTCGACTTCACAAGGCTCTTGACTTTTTTGTCCGTTCTGTCTCCTCAAACCAGCCGGGGATAATAGACATCCACACGCTCCCCAAATGAATAAATCATGTAGAAACGCACCTTGGCAGACACCTGGCTGGGGAAAGGTTTCAGCCTCTCCTGAGTGCACTTCTGGCCTCTGTGTAGATAACACAGATGACCTTCACATGGGAAGTTTAAGTTGGCTGTCCGGTGGATAAACTAAGTGGACAGAATCTGTTCTGATCCTCGTTCACTTCGACGCCGCATCAAGCTCCTCGGCTTTGACAGTTCTGTTGCTTGTCGCCATCTTACGGGATGTTTATCGGAGTGTTTGGGCTCCGGTCTTGTTGGATAAACTAACTAGAGACTGTCGCCAAATAAATAAATGATTAATTGAGAAAATATTTGGCAGTTTAATAAATAATGAAAAACGCAGCTCCAGACGAAACGCTGGAGTGTTTCTGATGAAAGTGGGTGAGTTCAGGGGAAGACAAAGCATGATTCCTGATTTATCTAAATGATTACACAACATTGATTAAAGCAGATAATAATTAAATGTCAGTAACCCTGATAGGATGGACAGCTGAGGTGAGCAGTACGTCCCCGTCAGTCATGCAGCGGTTACGTGTTGTCATATGTTGTTTAACCCTATGAGCCCGGATCATTGGACTGTTTGACTCTTATCCTGGTCGTTATAAAGGTCAGCCACACATGCTGTAAGTTATTGTTGTTCATTGACATGGAAGCTCTGCAGATCTCTGTTTGATGTGTAAACACTATTGAATCAAATATAATGGCAGTCCTCACTGAAGATAATGCAAAACAATGCACAAAGAAAACCTGGTCTCATCACAAAAGCTAAATTCTGCTGTTTATGTTGATCTGTGATGTGACTCATGACCAATGAGGACTTTGTGATTCTACAGCAGAGAAGCAGGTAGAGGATAACAACGGGTCAAGAACTGACTTTATAAGATAATGACTTCAGTGTGTGCAAATATCATATGGAGCTAGCATCACTGCAAAGCATCAACATTATATTAACTTATCTATACAGTAGTGAGTTCATGAGTAACTCAGAGAAGTGATGGAAGGGTTCAGGTTTAGAGCTGGAAGCAGGTTGGAACCATGAATACAGTCATGACCCGATGATCCGACACTAAATGTAAAACCTTCTTCTATGTCGGATATCAAGGCTGTGGGATTGTCCAGACGGAGGTCCAGATACGAGGAGGGCTTGATGCTGGAAGGCTCATTAGTTGTTCATTATTGTTCATAGTTGGTATAATAACTAGTAGGGCTGGTCCCAGTAGAACTTTCTGCTCTCTGGATGTTCAGGCCCAATTAATGATGAATATCAGAATGTTCAGTGCGGTCGGGGGACACTTCCACCCCGGGGCAGCGCTCTGACGGGGTGGAAGTGTCCAGAACACACAGGCAGTACTTGGCTGCTGATGCTAGTTTAGTTAGCGCTCACACTTCTGTTTCCTCCATCGGTGGCGGTGGGGGAGTGGCAGATACGCTCCACCGTTACCATCCATGTTTACTTCCATAAACACTGAGCACGCTCGCTGCGTGTGACGTCGTCGTGTCCTCTTCTGCGCATGCGGGACACTTTTGGCTCGTATGAAGTTCACACAGCAGATCACATACAAGTCGCATTGAAGTGGAAACGTGAAGGAAGTCACAAAGAAATCCTCATTGAGCATCAAGTCCTGCAGTGTGAACGTAGCCAATCTGTGGGATTGTTCAGTCAGATAATACGCCGTCATCCTGATTGGTGACATTAAATGTCATGTCGGAGTCACAATCCAAGGCTGTCGCTATGTTAAGGCTGTTTTTATGGCTTCTGTTGGTTTTTCCTAAAAGCCTGTCGGATAGCAGGTTTAGGATTGTTAAGGGTCGATTATCCAGTCACGTCTGTATATTTGATTTAAATTCTAGACTGTCTTGAACTCTTTGTCACTGGAAAGATCACGATGTGCCGATTGATCTGATGTGTGCTGCAGCTGCACAGTCGAGAAGCAAAGATGTGAATCTGGATGCCAACGGTTAAAAGAATATGTTGTTTTAAAGTTCTTACTAACGTATATGTGTCCGTACATCAGCAGTCGTGTGTGGCTGACTGTCACATGTTGATGTATTCTCCACGTAACCAAAGAAAAGTCTCCGTCCAGAGACAATAAATCACATCGTATGTAAAAACCACCATGGTGTCAACACATCTACACTTTAGTCCATCATAGCTGTTGAACAACCACAACCTCTAAAGTTTCCCATCATACATCTCATCTTTCATCCTCTTTTCTCACCTTCAAAATAACAGCCTCTGTAAAAAACCTCCAAACTATAAATTGTGAATCCGGAGAGTTTCTTTCTCCAGAACCCTCCGTGTTCCTCCTGTTCCTAAGAAGCCCGGCTCTGCCACAGCACCGTACACGATACAGAGGAGGTATAATTAAGCACATCTCCCACTGACTCATTATGGTCTGTACAGCCGCCATATGGCTGTCTGCTGGTTGCTATGGTGAGCGAGGGGATGTGTTTTTTTTTTCTATCGCCTCAGCAGAGAAACGGTGACGGTGCCGAGTGTTTTAACTGTAAGCGACGCTGCGGCGAGACACGAGAGTGTAAAATAAACAGTAATTTATAAAAATGATCGGCGGATACAGACGGAGAAACGTAGAGACGTCGAGGGAGATGGAAGGAGACAGCTCGAGATGCTGAGAGGCAGATACAGAGACAGACAGATGGAGATATACATGGATAAAGACAGATGATTTATATTGGTAGAGGGACGATACAGACAGAAATCCATACACACAGAGGGCTTTAGATAGAGAGATCCTATCCCAGCATGCATTGTGCACAGCCTGGATCAGTCAGCAGCCACAACAACGGGGCTGGATGACATAACAGCAAACGCTGTATTCCTGCACTTCTAGCTCCTACTCAGTGAGGCCGTCCCCGTCGCTCACACCATAAAACCCACATCTCTGGCTGACTGACGCTCTCCATCCCAACACGCTGCTTAAACCGTCTGGATTGTAGAAGCAGAGATAAACTGCAATAACATTTAACAACCAAAAAAACACAGATTACATACATCCAACGCAGCCAGGCAGCCCACAGCCCATCACTCGCTCACTGACCTGTCTTGGTCGGCACTGCGGAAGCGGGGGAGGATCATGTGGCGGAAGCTGCTAGTTCGGTCCAGTTTGGGCTGACTCTTGGCCCTCTTGATTGAGCCCTTCAACCTTCTACTGAGGAAACTCTGGAGCGTGGCGAACGACGACGAGGAGGAGGAGGAGAGCGGCAGCAGATGGAGCAGGAGAGGGAGGATGGTGTGAAGTCACAGAGACCGAGACGTGGTCGGCGTGGGTCGGAGAGAGATGACCGATCGATGGCGTGATTTGAGGAGAAGCGTGAGGCAGGTGTGGTCATGGGACAGGAGTCAGTGTGGTCGTGTTGGATAAATGTAAGCGACACAAAAATCAAATGGAGACGCACACAAATGAGAGACATGATGCGTGATGGGGAGAGCACAAGGTAGATTTATTATTCACAAGAAGTCGTCCTGCACATGTTGGCCTGCCACAGAGGACTGCAGTGCTGCAGCAGCTCCTGTGGTGGGCAGTGTTGAGCCACACAGTCCGACTGCAGCAGCAGTACCGGATGCAGTCGGTCCTGCACGAGCTTCCTTAAACGATTCACTGATCTTGAATCCAAACCAGAACACTACACACAGTATGCTCCAGAGTGATGGTTAGCTTTCACCATTTAGTGTTACAGACGTCGACACTGTTTTGTTCTTCTGCATGTTTCTGGAGATGCATCATTTACTGACAACCTTCATTCAGGGCAGAAATCCACCATGTTTGCATGCACGCTGCCTGACTTCAATAAAATGAATCAGTTTTCTTGTTTACACGCTAAAAACCTGATCTGCAGCTTGGATTAAGTCATGACTTTGTTTCAGGACTTTTTGGTATTTTATTTTATTTTTATCTTTATTTTTAAAAATATTAAATTTTATTTTTTATTGCCACTGGATGCAGGCACCGAGCACATTTCACTACACATTGCTCTGTGTATAACTGTGTATGTGACAAATAAAGTTTATCTTTATCTCTTATCTTTATAACTCCTAAAGTGAATCTGATTGGACGAGCTGGAGGTTCTAGTGCAGCGTCCAGTCAGTGTGAGGATAGAAAGAACAAAAACAGGAGGACGATTGGTCACTTTGTCCGTTTGTTTAAAGAACAAACTGCAAGTTGAGCTTTTTACTAAATTCATACGTATTTTTTCCTTTAAAAAGTGAATGCATAACGTTATACGGTCTGAGGCCCATAAAGACTTATTCTGCCTTCATGACGTCACACAGCAGAGCTGACGAGGCCTCTGGGCAGCAGCAGCTGGTAGCGAA